TGGGTCTAGAGTCACATGTAGACCAGACCAGGTAAGGATGGCAGTTTCCTTCCCTAAAGGTCATTAGTGAACCAGATGGGTTTTTCCAACAATTGACAATGGATTCATGGTCATCATTAGATTCTTAATTCCAGATATTTTATTGAATTCAAATTCCAGCATCTGCCATGGGGGGATTCAAACCTGGGTCCCCAGATTGTTACCTAGGTCACTGGATTAATAATCCAGCAATAATACCACTAGGCCATCGCCTCTCCGACTCATGACTCATTAACTACCTACTCTGTCCCCATGTCACCCTCTCATCTGATTCTAGCTCCATCCTACCTCTCACTGTAGCCAGATCAACTTGCCACTGTTGGGATACCTCAGAATGGACTGGCATTCCTGGCACCGGTGCCATTTTTGATAGGTCACTGTGCTCCCAGACAAGCACTGTCAATGTGGAGCTGCCCTGCATGGTGCCTGACACACGCGCACAATATAAGATGTTGACCATAAGATATAGGAGCAGAAATAGGCCTTTTAGCCCATCGCGTCTGCTCCACCATTTGATTTTGGCTGATATGTTTCTCAAATCCATTCTCCTGCTTTCTCCCCATAACCCTTGATTTTCTTACTAATGAAGAACCTATCAATCTCTGTCTTAAATATACTCAATGGCTCAATGACTCAATGACATGGTAAAGAAGGAAAAATTGGCACCCTGCTTTGCACCCGTTTATTTGGAGATCCTGCCGGATGGGATGGTGCAGAGATGGGAAATCCTCTCACCAGGACCAGCAGTGGAGGCCGTGATGCCAGACCATGCTGCTCTGGTCTGAGTTTGCCACCTGGGTCAGTGCAGTCTCAGCCGACCTTGGAAGAACACACAGCAACATAGGGAGAAGGTCAATAAGCTTCTCAACTCTGCCATTTTAAGAACCACCATATTCTCATACTCACTATATCATTGTGACCACACCCACCTCTCACTAAGGCTGAAGTTCTACCACTCTCACTGGTGCCTTCGTTCACTGGCTGTCACTGACCCCAACCTGGACTTGACCAGCATGCCCTCTGTGCTACCTATTCACTCCCTCGGGGAACCTCCCCAGCTGCATAGCACGTAACATGTGCCATTCACTTTCATCTCCCTTAATACATGTCTCTCTCGCTCTCTGTCTCACTTGTTCTCTATCTCGCTCACTCTCTCGCTCCAGGAGGAAAATAGCCTGCAGTCGTGCACCAAGCGTCAGGATGGGTAGTGGGCTGCCTGGCATTTGTCTCTGCACTTCTTATGAGAAAAGGATCCTGACACTAACTGCCCTGAGTGGCTTACTGACCATTTCCAAGCTCCTGGAGGCTGCCCTTGACTTATTGCGCTGAGGCCTGCCCTCTAACAAAATGCTTATTCCCCCTTTGACTTGACTGACAAATGCTGACAACCATGTCAAGCTTCCTGGCTTTGTTCAGTGCCAAAGAGCTAAATACTGTGAGCCTGGTAACTCTGACTGAGGGGAAAGACGATAAAAAGGCAAGGCAAGGCAGGGGTGCTGAGGGCATCCAAATAGGCCCAATGTGAGTGAATGAGTGCCAAGAGAGCAAGCGAGCAGCCTGAAGGTGCAGCCTGGTCCAGTTCATCAGCTGGATGCGTGGGGCTAAGTGCAAAGTGTGCATGCTGTGGCATTACAGTGATTGAAGTGCAGAAGCATTCTGCATGTGGATCAGAAATGGTGTCATGATTCCTAAAGGCTGACACATAGCAAATGGTAATGTTCGTGATGTGAGTGTGTGTGGGCAGTGCTCATGGAACATGTCCTGAAATATTGGTGCCTGATGTCCATCATAAATCTCCTTTGCAGCTAGAGGCAAACTGAAGTTACCAGGTACTGCAAATTTTTGGTGTCCAGTTTGCTTGAAGCAAGTGTTATGATAGAAAGCTGCATATAATAAGGTTGTTAACAAGCAATAATCTCCCTTAATAGGCAATTCATCGGTGCCTCATAAGAATCTTGCATCACCACCCAGAATGCAGTTAAGGCATAGAGCAAGGCCTGCTGAAGTTTGCCTTGATACTGAAGTCAGGAAAAAGAAGCAAGAACCTATGTAGTGCCCTTCACTTTCTCAGTACATTCAAAGTGCTTTACAGCCAATTAAGTGAATAACTTAAGTCTCTCAAAGTACTCTATTGCTATCAACTATATTTGAACATTAGTATTTTATGTAGGCAGTTTTATAGCATCAAGAAATAGGTTTTAAACCAACTACTAGGGGCAGGAATTGGCATGTGGCTGTCCTATCCAATGTTTTGGGGTCAGTTTTGTTCACTTGGCCCAGCTGGCTGGTTTGCGATTCAGGGTGACACCAACAATATGGGTTCAATTCTCACACCAGCTGAGGTTGTCATCTTAGGATTCTCCTTCTTGGATACACGATTGGCTGACTGGCAAAAGCAGAGTGGGAATAAAGGTGTCTTTTTTAGGATGGCAGCCAGTAACATTTAGAGTTCCACAGGGGTCAGGCTTAGGATCACAACTGTTCACATTATATGTTAACGATCTGGGTAAAGGAACTGAGGGCATTGTTGTTACATTTGCAGATGATATAAAGATAGATGGAGGGGCAGGTAGTGTTGAGGAAGTGCGAAGGCTGCAGAAAGACTTGGACAGGCTAGGAGAGTGGGCAAAGAAGTGGCAGGTGGAATACAATGTGGGAAAGTGTGAGTTTGTGCACTTTGGTAGAAAGCTTACGGCCATAGACTATTTTCTAAATTGTGAAAGGTTTTGGAAATGCGAAGCACAAAGGGACTTGGGAGTCCTAGTTCAGGATTCTCTTAAGGTTAACATGCAGGTTCATTTGGCAGTTAGGAAGGTAAATGCATTCATTTCAAGAGGGCTAGAATGCAAGAGCAAAGATGTAATGCTTAGGGTATATAGGCTCTGATCAGACCGCGTTTGGAATATTCTGAGCGGTTTTGGGCCCATGTCTAGGGAAGGATGTGCTGCCATTGGACGGGGTCCAGAGGAGGTTTACAAAAATGATCCTGAGAATGAAGGAGTGGTTGAAGACTCAGGGTCTGTACTCAGTAGAGTTTAGAAAGATGAGGGGGGATCTCATTGAAACAGACAATATTGAGAGGCCTGGATACAGTGGACATGGAGAGGATGTTTCCACTCGTAGGAGAGACTAGGATTTGGAGGCACAGGCTCAGAGCAAAAGGATGACTCTTTAGAACTGAGATGAGGGGGAATTTCTTCAGCCAGAGGGTGATGAATTTGTGGAACTCATTGCTGCAATGGGCTATGGAGGCCAAGTCACTGAGTGTATTTAAGACAGAGATAGATGCCTCTTGGTTGGTAAGGGAATCAAAGGTTATGGGGACAAGGCAGAAGGAAGGGGTTGAGAAACAAGTTAGCCATGATTAAATGGTGGAGCAGACTCGATGGGCTGAATGGCCTAATTTTGCTCCTATGTCTTCTGGTCTTATAATTTTGGATCTCTAGGATGAAATAGGAACCGGTGATGAACTGTATCCGATTGGCTTAATGGCACAATTATGTAATAATTCCAATCTGAAACAAATACACAGTGAGACAAGCAGATCCAAGTTAAACCATTGGCTGTCCTTAGTTCTTTAGTTTGGAAAAGGATTACTCAGTGTATCCATCAAAAACCAAACTCCATAGTACAGAAATGCCAAATCACTTATCACGTTAAAAAAGAACAGTAGCGTGTATCATTGCAGCAACTCACCCCACCTCCTTCAACAGCGCCTTCCAAACCCATGGTCTGTGCCACCTCAGAAGACAAGTGCAAAGATACATTGGATCACCATTGCCAGCTGGTTTCCCTCCAAGCTATACATCCTTGGAACTATATCACTCCTCCTTCACTATCATTGGGTTAAAATCCTGGAACTGTCTCTCTAACAGTGCTGTGGGTGTACTTACAGCTATTATAATCTGATCCCAGACAAGATTCCCAAAGTTATATCAAGTTCCCAGGTGAGGATGAATGAACAAATTTTACAGTTTATTTTTGGTTCATTCGGTTAGTCGCAACAAGTTCAATTGACAAAAGATTCTTTCCTTTGTAGATATCTTTCTCCCTGGCCAAATGATTTTTTTTTAAAAGGCAACAGTTTAACCAGGCTTTCTTCAGTTAACGATGGAGTGAGTTTTAGTTAGTAAATGCGAGAACAAACAACAACTCACAGATTAGGGATGAAAAGTGAGGACAAAAGAAAAGTTAAAAGATATATGGATCAGTTTCTGTGGGTGGTTTGTGAAGAGTGCTGATATTTGAGCAGTCGATTTTGGGATTCTTGTTTGACAGTCAGTTGAAATCCTTTCATCATGTTTCCCCTTGACAGTGGTTGCTGTCAGCACTCAGGGCAGGAGTATTCTTCTTCTGGCCTGTTTGTTTTTGGGGCTAGCTGATTCATAATGCTGAGAGAAAGAGAGTCCTTTACTTGCAATACAGGGAAGACTAGAGTGTGGCTCTTCGACTTAGACATTCATAGCACATTAGCACTGAACCCAGAGTATCACATATGATTACCTAAGTCTACTGGTGCACATGAGCACCTTAGCACAGTGTTGCATCTTCTTCCACTGGTACACACAAATCATGTACTTCAGAATTTCTACATCGTCATGACATGATTTTCCAAATCCCAATTTTACTCACTTCAGTACTTTCAAATCCAATCACTGACTGAAGTGATTGAATTCAAACCCGCCCCCCACCCTCCCCCCAACACCAACCCCCCCCACCATCTTTAGAGACAACCATTATGAGAGGCAAAGAAACATCTTTAGATTCAAGTGTACCAATAGTGAATAGTGCAGGTGAACAGTGTATTATAAATCCAGTCAAACACGAGTTGTTGTTTCCATCATTTTGAAATCAACTATGGAAATAAAATTATTTACTTGGAGTTTAAAATGTGAGATTAGCTTTACTGTAAATGTAAACTGTCTCTCAGCTGCTGATTCTCTTCTTAATTTGGCCACCAGGGTTTATTATGTGGACTTCTTGAAGCCATTTGCAATGCGCAGGCAACAATGGCGGGGGGGAAGCAACATGCTGGCAGTCCTGCAGCATCCTAATACTCACTTTACTGATCATCAAGGAACAGGGCTGGACAACATCACAACGAGGCTCCGAAAAAAGGTAATGACACAAGTTACAGAGAGTTACAATCTCCTCCTTGTTTTCAAATCCCTCCATGTCCTCACCACTTCTCTAAGCCCCTCCAACCCTTCGAGAGGTTTGAATTTATCTTATTCTGGTTTCTCAACTATCTTCAGATGCCTCATCAATGATCTTCCTTCCAAAGTTAGGTTAGAAATAGGGATGCTTGTTGATGATTGCACAATGTTCAGCACCACTTGTGACTCGTCACATACTGTAGTAGCGTGTCTATATGGAGCTAGAGCTGGGTAACATCCAGACTTGAGCTGAAAAGTGGCATTAACATTTGTGCCACACAAACAGAAGCCGATGATTATCTCCAATAAGTGGTTTCAGCTCACCCCACCTTTTGTGAGAGCAGAAAGGGATGAACAATAAATGCTGGCCTAGCCAGCAATGCCCACATCCTGTGAATGAATTAAAAAAGCAAGAGAAAGTCTAACCATTTCCCATTATTATTCAATGTATTGCCATTGCTGAATCTCCCTCTATCAACAGCCTAGGGCGATCTTTGACTGAAAACTGAACTGGAATAGTCATATAAATATTGTGGCTACAAGAAAAATTGAGAAGCTAGGAATTCTGTAGTGAGTAACTCCCCAAAGGCCATTCCCTAAGCTACAAAACACAAGTCAGGAGAGCTTTCAACCTGTCCAGATGAATGCAGAGTCAACAACACTCAAGAAGCTCAACACCATCCAGAACAAAACAGCCCTCTTGGCTGGCACACATCTACCACCTTAAATATTCACTCCCTCCGCAGTGGCAGCTGTGCAGACTTTATACAGGATGCACTGCAGCAACTTGCCAGGTGTCCTTCAGAACACCTTCCAAATCGCTGTAACACCTATCACCTACAAAAACAAGGGCAGTAGATGCAAGGGAATACGACTGCAAGTTCCCCATCATGCTAAATATCATCCTAACTTGGAACTATAGTACTGCTCCCTGGGTCAAAATTCTAGAACTCCTAACAGTGCTGCATGTTTATCAATGCATACCACATGACTGCAGCAGTTCAAGAAGGCAGCTCACCACCACTTTCTCAAGAACAAAAGAACGGGGAGTAATGTCAGCACAGCCAGTGGTATCCACACTCTACAAATGATTGTCTCACAATTGGCAACTCTGCTTTTAACCATCAAGTACCTACACTGTGAACTTCTGTCCCTGAACTTCACCAATTCTCCCTGTTTTTCTTCCTTTAAAATTCTCCATTAAAGCTGGTTTTTTTTTATAACTTTAAGGGATGTGACCATTGCTGGCCTGCTTAACATTTATTGTCCACTCTTAAGTGCCCTTCAGAATTGGAGCCCCTCTACCAGGGTTGTGGTCATGTCGGTTAGAAACCATTATAGTAATACAGCAATACAGACGTCTATATAGGATAACAAAATTTAAATATTTATCTTCACCTGTACTCCACAGTTAAAAGGAGAGTGGAAATCCTTACGCAGAGCCTTTAAGAAGTTGGACAACACCAGCAGTGGTTACTTATCTCTGCCAGAGTTTCGTGCTGTGCTCAAACTCTGTGACCTGCTCCTGAATGAGGATGAAGTGTATCACGTCATGTCAAAATTTGACGAAAACATGGAAGGCAAAATCAACTACAAAAAGTTCCTGGAGGAGACCTACAAAAAAGAGAGAAGTCGTGCAGGAAACAAAGATTCTAACTGCAACGAATAAATGTGAAGACTTAGCTGAGTGATGGCAAGAAAAATAACTCTTGGCCTATTCTGTATTGAATGATCATCTCCATGGAGCAGCCTCTGTCTCAGCTCCATGTTCTTAATAGTCTATGAATTAACACTGATTTCACCTTCATAACTGCTCAAGACCTTACAATGATAAACAGCTCAATGTCTCTGAAGTTTCCAAAGCCTCTCCTTTTTTTCCTTAATCCAATTCTAATCACTTTGCTTTGGGGTGAGACATTGATGTGGGAAAGAGCATGTTCAGATCAATAGCCTCAGTGACTAAGATGATAAAAGGCAAGAAAGAACTTGTGTCTTTCACAACCTCAAGACATCCCAAAGCATTTCACAGTGAATGAAGTACTTTAGAAATTTAATCACTGTTGTAATGTAGGAAACACCCATTGGATTTGCACATAGCAAGATCCAACATATGCCTTTGAACAGATAATCTGTTTAAATTGAATTTGTTGAGATCTCCTCAAATCACAAGTGCAATTTTACAAAATTTGGTTTTGATTTTTCCCTAATAAAGTTAATGTTCCCATTTAGGCTATCATAAAATTCAGCCTTAGATACAGTATGAGTGTTTTATGACAAGCAAGTTGGTTTACATCTCTCGGACGATATATATTTTTTATTTTGATATTGGGCAGAGGGTTTGAACTAAGTCAAAGGTAAATCCACTCCAGATCCAAACTGTTGGTTCATAAACTTACATCAATCATATGTTAGAAATATGACAAGAAAACCAGAAGATCCATTGATATATGTTACTGTTATAGGAATTCCTAATCAGTATCTTTGCTAGTTGAATATGCAATATTTTAGATTTTAAATAAAGTAGCATTTATTTAACTGTTTGCACTTTCTTCTGTAACGACATTAACTTCATCTCTTAGGGAGCAAAGAATTTTCAGTGTAGAGTAATAGCAACTATAAGTTGTGTTCATTACAGAATTATCATCGGTGATAATCCCAGGTTGTGTTTATTACACAATGCTCAGGGACAGCAACCCTTGGTTCTGTTCATTAGTTTGGTCATCCACAAAAAAAAAGACATGGAGTTGTAGTTTGAAGAGAAGTTTCCTTATCAACAGATTCCTGAAATGGTAATGCACAGGTTTGAAATTGCCACTAATTGGGGGCATTACACTCAATACCTTTACAATGCCTTTTGTCCATTGATGGCTTTTGTCTCTTCCCTCCACATTTTCCAGTTTTTTTTTATAATGAGACGTATTTTGGTTGTGTACATGGATAAAAACGTAAGGATTTAGGAAATAGAAGTAGGGCATTTTCTCCTCATAAGCCTGTCCAATAACATCAGGGTTTTTTATTCATTCAGGGATATGGCTGTACTGGCTGGACCAGCACTTATTGCCCATAGTGCAGGTAAGAGTCGACCACATTGCTGTGGGTCTGGAGTCACATGTAGGCCAGCCCAGGTAAGGACAGCAGATTTCCTTCCCTGAAAGACATGAGTGAACCAGATGTGTTTTATCAACAATGCATTCATGGTCATTGTTTGACTTCTAATTCCAGACTTTTAATCGAATCCAATTTCCACCATCTACCTTGGCAGGATTCAAACGTGTGTCCCTAAATCATTAACATTCTAGCAATAATACTACTAGGCCATTGGCTCTTCTGCAATAATCAGCGATCTGTGCTGATCTTTTGCCTCAATGACTTCTTCCTGCAGTAGGCCTATATTCTTTGCTCCTCTTTGTCTTGAATATACCCAATGATTGAAAATGCATAGTTCTGTGCATCAAAAAACATTCATGATTCACATCCATGTGTGAAGAAATTCCTTCTAGTCTCAGACCTAAATAGCTAACCCTGTTTTGAAAATGTGACCCCTTGTTTTAGACTCCCTGGCCACCTGAAACATCATCCAATATCAATTCCATCAGTACTCTTAAGAACTTTCTGTTTCAATGAAATTGTGTTCATTCTTGTACATTTTCAGAAATGTGAGATTTGTCTACTTAGTCATTGGGTTAACTCCTCATTCCCAGAAAGCACTCTAAGATTTAGGTAAATAGACTAAAACTGTATACAGTTCTCCAGTTGTAGTTTCACCAAGGTTTCTTTGTAACTGTAGTTAAAATGTTGACTTTTATACCCTGATCCCTTTATTACAAAAGCTAACATGCCATTTGCTGATCATGTACATGAATCATGTACATGAATCCCTTTGAAAGTCAACACTTCCGAGGCTCTCACCAATGAAAAAATATTCTTCCTTTATATTTTTCCTTCCAAAATGATAACTTCATGCTTCTCCACATTGCTGACATTGCAAGAACATTGTAATACAATGTTCTTGCTCACTTACTTAATCTATCTGTATACCTTTGCTGCCTCCATTTTCTCCAAACTGCTTACTTTTCTATCTAACGTGGTATTGTTAGCAAACTTAGATACCTTACACTTGATCTAAGTAATTGATATATAGCACAAATAGCTAAAGCTCAGACACTGATTCTTAAGATAACCCAGCTTTGCAGCCTGACAACCGAAAATTTTTCCTATTCTGTTTTCTGATTTTTTTTTCATAGAATCCCTGCAGAGCAGAAACAGGCCATTTGGCCCAACAAGTCCACACTGACTCTTTGAAGAGTATCCCTCCCACCTAGACTCACCGCCTATAACCTATCCCTGTAATCCTGTATTTCCTTTATTCATTAATTGGACAAGGGCATTGCTCTTAGGTAGCATTTATTGCCCATCCCTACTTGCCCAGAGGGCAGCTCAGAGTCAACCACATTGTTGAGGTTCTGGAGTCACACGTAGGCCAGACCATATAGGGATGGCAGTTTCCTTCCCTAAAGGGCATTAGTGAACCAGATGGGTTTTTTTTCCTGACAATTGACAATGGATTCATGGTCATCATTAGACTCTTAATTCCAGATATTTTATTGAATCTGCCATGGTGGGATTTGAACCTGGGTCCTCAGAATGTTAGCTGGGTCTCTGGGTTAACAGTCCAGTGATAATACCACTCGGCCATCACCTCCCATAGCAAATCCACTTAACCTACACATCCCTGGACACTATGGACAATTTAGCATGGCCAATCCACCTAACTTGCACATCTTTGGACTGTGGGAGGAAACTGGAGCACTCAGAGGAAACCCTCGCAGACACAAAGAGAATGTGCAAACTCCACAAAGACAGTAGCCCGCGGCTGGAATTGAACCCATGTCCCTTGCGCTGTGAGGCAGTAGTGCTAAGCACTGGGCCACTGTGCTGCCCCTAGTAAATAATCCCCTAATAACCCAGGAAGTCCTAATTTTGGGTAAAAACCTGTTGCATTGCTCCTTTATGGAATTCTGCTTGAAAAATCAAACACACAACGTCCACTTATTGCCTCTTTTCCACCCTGCTAGTTACAACCTCAAAAAGACATATCAAACACGCTTTCCCTTTCATAATTTCATGTTGACTTTGCCTAATTATATTATGATTTTCTAAGTGCCCCCATTACCACAACTCTAATAATAGATTCTAATAGTTTGCTTGCCACTAATGCCAACTAACTGACCTGTAGTTCCCTCTTTCTCTTTCTTTCTCCTTTCTTCAATAGAATGATTTTGCTTGCCACAACTTCATGGGGTCTATTCTAGAGTCCACAGAATTCTGAAAGACTAAAACTACACATCCATCATCTCTGAAACTACCTGTTTCAAAACCATAAACAACAAATCATCAGGGCTAATAATTAACCTCATTGAGGAAGATCATGTGAGACCAGGTATTGCACTTCAGGTACTGCAGTGTAACGTTCCATAGTGGGATCTCCAACTCTGCAAATATTGCAACATCCTGCAATATTCAACACTCTGATATCCAGCACTGCAATATTCAATATCACTTTATTCAATGTCATAATATTTCACCATATATTCAACATTGTAATATCTCACATTGACATCCAACACAGTAACACTATTATAGCCACCATTGTAAGATCCAGGAATGGGACATTCAGCATAACAATATCCAGCACTCCAATTCAAAACACTAATATTCCACAACATAATATCCAACAGAATAGTTTGCAATGCTGTAACATCCAAAATTCATATGGTGCTATGCAATCCAGCACTATCATACCCAACATTACAATTTCCAGCGCTATTGATATCTATGGATGTAATATCTCACACGGTGATATTCGGCACTATAATATAAAACATTCTGATCTCTGGCCATATAATATCTTGCAATGGACAATTCAGCACTGTGATATCCAGCAGGGTAACTTTTGACACTGTAACATCTAAAACTTTCATGTTGGGTAATGTGTTATCCAACACTATAATTTGAACCACTGTACTACCCTGTACTGTGATATTCAACACTACAATGTCTAACACCATAAAATCCACCACTAATATCCACCAGTGTGAAATTTGGCAGTCCAGTATTTACCACAAATATTCAGCTTTGCAACATCCAACATTATAATATCTCCAGTACGGTAATATTGAATACTGACTGCAGTGTCTCGTATTGCGATATCCCCCAGTGGAATGTTCAGCAATCTGACACTTAGTACAGTGATATCGAACAATCTAACACTGTAATACCTTACACTGTGATATTCACTATTGAATATCCAACACGACAACAGTGAACTTTTAAAAAATTGTGAAATCTAATTTCAATGTGTCATATTCAATTTTACATGAAATTGGGTGAAAATATTGATTACAGTAAACAAGAATTCCCAATTTATAGCAGCAAAATATTCATAACCTTTGCCAAAACCAAGAAGAAAGAAAAACCGAAAGAACTGCGGATGCTCCAAATCAGGAACAAAAACAGAAGTTGCTGGAGAAGCTCAGCAGATCTGGTAGCATCTGTGCAGAAAAATCAGAGTTAACGTTTCGGGCCGGGTGACTAGACCCGCTGAGCTTTTCCAGCAACTTCGGTTTTTATTCCAAAAGGAAAGAAACTTTTTTTTCCCCTCCATTTCACTACAAGTGGCCTTTGCTGGAATAATTAGACTTTAGTAGAATCATCGCCTTACGCATTTCCCTTGGAGGAATTCTCTTGATACTGCAGCCTTGTCATTACACCTGTAGCCAATACTTCTCCTTCCCTGTCAAGATAAATGCCACTGTCAAATTGTGACTGTTCTATATTTCGTTTCCAATCTCCCTTTCCTTATATGTAAGAGTGCATCTGAAAAATGTATCAAATCAGCGCTATCTTTCTGCTTTTACATTGTCTAAGTATGAGCATCTGTTTATTGGGTAAAATTTGAATTTCCTCTGAGTATCTATAGGCTGGGTTTGTTTGATAACATAGCCCTCGCTCCTTGTTGCCTCTTTCTCCCCATTTCTCAGGACTGGTCCCAAAGTTTGTTAGCCCGTGAAAGACCTTGCTTAATATCAGGCAAACGGCTGAAAGTGTCTTGATCACACGGTCTCTCATTTCTGTTCTGTAGCTGATGACCTAAATAGGAGAAAGTCGTCTTTCCCTGGTGTTGTTGGATTTCCCATGCGTTTGTGCACCCATGTGTTGTCACCTGGGAAACAAAAGGGGATGCTGGATCTCCTCCGAGGACAGAGAGGAGCTCCTCTCTTCTGCTTAATCCGCTAAACAGAAATCTTGAAACAGCAAAGGAGAGAAACAACAGCTTGTATTTATATAGCACCTTTACATAAGGGGGAGTCGGTTGAAGGTGCTCCACAGAGTATGAGGAGGTGCACTGATCTCTGTGAAGTAGGGGAAAGAG